CTGTGTGCGGGTGCTGAGAACAGCACTTGCTGCACGCTTATAAGCTGAACTCAAGGGTTCAGGACAGGTACAACCTCATTGGTGTCTTCAGGGGATGCAAGAGCGAATATATGGCTGCTTTTCTGCTGCACCTTCAGGTCTTTTTAGCTGTTTGTGTGCCAGCAGTTCAGTCTGCCCCCTAACATGTTGGGCTGCAGTCAACCATACGTGATGCAGGCTATAGAGCATTGCATGTGAGCAGCTATGCTACAGCGCATGCTGAACGCAAAGAGCAGGGCGTGGCCACCGGTGCCTGAATGATGCCGCGGCGCGTCAGCAAGCGTTTGCCATGGCTCCGCTCATATTGGCAGCGCAGCTGCACAGGCGGACAGGCGCGTGCGTGCGTGCGTGCACCGTCATGACGCAGGGTGCCACCGCCACGTGGCGTACAGGGTGGCGCACAGGTGCAGACCGCAGTACACGCTGACAATGCATGTGCAAATGAGACAAACACCCCCAAGTCCCCGTTCCACGTCCACTCTCTGTACATCTGTACATTGTGCTCTGTGTTTACCAGCGACATGAGGGCCGCTGTAAAATGATAGCGCCGTGTTGTCGCATAGAAGTACTTGTCTGTCGCACAAAAATGTGTGCTGCGATACCACATTCACACGCATGACCGACCCTCGTTGCAAAATCAATGTGTAACGACGATCCCCCAGGGTCAGGTACTGGTACGTCTGTTGTACGTCGGCTCGCTGGTAATGGCTGCCCGAACGCCGCACGTCGAGACGACGGATGTGCAAGCCTTTTCAAGCGTTGAAATCTGGTGCGCGCGCTGCTCTAGTGGCGCTTGCGTCAGTGCTCCGCCAACGCGCGCAGGTACGCGGCGACCTCTTCGTAGGCAAAGAAGCCAATCGCGCTCTGCGTCAGGCATGCAGGGGGAGGGAGGGGGCAGAGGTGCGAGCGGGCCATTTGTCAGAGACCGCTTGAGGTTTAATGCACCACGCGTGAAAGGGCAGGTATTCGCTACATGTCTGCAAACACTGTTGCTGAAAGGGCAGGTATTCGCTACACATCTGTAAGCTCTGTAGCCGAGCAGTGCGTGTTGTCATGGTCAGCAGCAGCTGAGCATCGCTGGTTCGTGCGCCAGCAATGGCGCCGGCAACGGAAAACACTCATGCTGACTGCTCTGAGCAAACAGCCGCCGCTGAGCCCATCAATGCCTGGACTAGTTTGATCACCAAAACCTCAACCGCATTAGAGTCCAACAGCGCTCCCGAAGCCTGCGAGACACAGCGCCCCCCACCCTGATTGAGCGAAGTTCAACATTGAAGTGGAGTACGCACCATGGGGATGGCGCGCGCGAGCTTGAGGCCGAGGCCGCGCCAGAAGACGCGCACGCCCTCGGCGGCGTGCATGCGCGCGACCGTCTCCGCGAACGACCCGCTCGCGCCGTGCGCCTGCATGCGCGTCTTGACGACGTCGGCGGGGTAGCTGCGCGCCGCGGCGGGGACGCGGGGTCAGACGTGCATGAGCGCAAGCGTAGTTTAGGGGGGCGCAGCTGGCAGACGATGATGGGCAGCGGTTGTGTGCGCTCCATGCCCAGAGCTTGAACACTGTGGAAGTGCATGATGAGGGCATGAAACCACTGCACATGTTGTACGCGACGCCTTTCGAGACGCTCGAGCGCGCATTGAGGCCGCTCTTGGCCGCCAGCGCCCGTCGGGGCTGCTGAGGGAGGACGTCAGGCTTCAGCAGTGCGAGCCTGCCACCCAGAAGCAACGTACTGACAGCGATGGTGTTTGGCACGGCGCTGTGGTGCTTCACGAGCATGGGATGGTGCAGGGGATGTCAACGCACCACTATCAGGCGTGTAGGCAAGCAAGCAACACAAGTCTTGCTGTCAACACATCGCGATGCTGCACGAGCGTCCAGCTCAAGAATGGTGATGTTTGACGGGCTGCTATAGTTTCAGAATTGCTGAGACTGCAGCAGGAAATTTATAGCCGTCAGCAGTTGCGAGAGCACACATGGAGCACTGTGACAGTTGCTCATGGCAGTTGAGCTTGTGGCAACTAACCTCTCTGACAACACATGCCAGCAGCATGGCTTGCAGCCTCGCTTCAGACGGAGCTTGAGCGCAACCGCCGAGGCTCCAACAGGCGTTTGCAAAGGCTCTGCTGCTTACGACACACACAGGGCTCCAACCCAGCAAGCGACCGGCAGTGCACATGAAGATGTGCGCATACCGTTTGCAAAGGCAAACCCGCAACATGCGTCCGCAGCAGCGAATGCTACCATGGCAGGGCTGTCCCTCACCCGACGCACCACGCCGCGGTCGAGATGCGCACACACCGTACGCAGAAAGCACAAACCGGAACATGCGTCCGCAGCAGCGTATGTTACCATGGCAGGGCAGTCACTCACCCGACGCACCACGCCGCGGTCGCCGCTGTCGCGCCCGCGGCGACCTGCACGTGCAGGGGTTGTGTGTGTGTGAAACCGTCAGTCGGCGCATAGAATGCGGAGGCCCTCCGGAAACAGGTTGGCGGACAACGTCGCTGGCGTGTTGCAACAGGGAGTGCGAGAGCAGCGTAGAATGCGCCTGCGTGTACGACAGTTGCCCACAGCCGCCTCGCATGCTCAATTCCAGCATTGAGTGAACGCCTTCACATGAGCAGACGAGCACGCTGATGGAAGTCATGGTGTACGCGAAGCAATGCCAATAGCCATGTCCATGGCACGGTGCAAGCCAACGTGGTGTACTCGTTTCAGCCAAACCTTGTCCCATGTGATCGTGCAAACCACACATCTCGCACATGGGCAGCAGCATACTCCCAATGCGTGGTCGCCCGCTCACCAAGTGCAAGCGCCGCAGCTCAAAGCGCCAGCAGCTGCTGGTTGCTAGCTGCTGCACTCTGCCTTGGCTGCATCACCACCCCCCCGCACGCCCCCCCATCAGCGCCCAGCGCACGCGCCCCCCCCCCGCTGTACCTACCTACCCATGGGCCCCCTCACCTGTGCCGCGGGGTCCAGCGGGCCCGCCGCGGCATCCCCCGCGAGCGCCCTCTTGGCGGCCTCGTACGACGCGAACCACACGCCGTGCGGCAGCACGTCGCGCCACAGCGTCGCGCTCAGGCCCTGGCCCGCCCACGCCACCGACGGCAGCGCGAATGAGCGCGCGCCGCTGCCGCCGCCGCCGCCAGCGCCGCCGCCCAGCGTCAGCCGCGCCGCCATGGCGATTGCGCCTGAGGAGGGTTTCAGCGCCGCTGCTGCTGCTGGCGCGGCGGCGGCGTGCGCCTGAGCGGGGGCCGCTGCCGCTGCTGTTGCTTGCAGCTGCAGGCGGACCTGTGGCGGCGGGGGTGAGTTGTGGGGCAAGACAGAGCAGCAGTGAGCCAAGTGCGCGCGCATGCATGGTGGCCACTGCATGGTGGCCACCCTGTGCATGAGGTGGCGGTGATGCCGCGGAACACTGCGTGCCATTGTAAGCGCACTGACCGTTGTCTGAAAGATGAATGCAACGCATCCCACCGTGTCGAGCGACCGCCACCACGCAGCAAAACACATCTCATGAACTGACCCCCTATGCAGTTGCAGCATCAACACACTGCACGGAAAGGCACCAGTGCACGCTAGATGCGCTCTCGGTTCGTTCAAGTGATGCATGCGGTCCACGCTGATATTCCCATGAGCGTGACATGTACGCATGAGGAGGGGTCATGCATTATGACACGCACAGGGCGTACTGGCGGCTGCCAGGACAGTTGTTGAAGCGCGCTGAACATTGCAGGCACCCTCCCAACTAGATGCGGAGCCGGTGTGGTCTACAGTATGGCAGATGGCATTGACGCACAAGTGGTGCTTACAGCAGTCACCGACAAGCAGTCACATCACGCTCACACACAGTGGCTTCGACAAAAATGCAGACTGTGATCAAAACACCAGCACAAGCAATCTACGCCTCCCTAAAGGCCTCACCTTGAGTAGTTCTACTGGGCTCGCCAGAAAGCTCTGCGCCAGCCCTCCCGCACAGCCCCCGACGAATACGTGCCACAGCTGGCCTCCCTCAGAGGTGCCGTCCCCCTTGTCCGCCCCACTCCAGTGCAGGCCGGCTCCGTATCCAGCGAACAGCAGCGCATTCTGGGCTGCGGGCAGAGAGACCATGCGGAGTTTCAACACCGGCGCCACTGAATATGCACGAGACATGGTCTGAAGTCTGAGCAAGACAGAGAGTGGAGAATTGCAAATAAGCATGATGTCGGCGTGTGATGCGAACACTGCTGTTCACGAGATGCGGTGAAGCCATGCTCAGTATCCTTGACAGCAAACAGCATTCAAGGTGCAATGACCCCCCCCCCCGCACCTGGCACTGTGCCCATCATGATGGAGGTCCCCTTCCAGAGTGCTTTGAGGCCCCCAGCGCTGCTGAAGCTGTGCGCCAGGGCCTGTCGCGCAGGTGCGGCATTGGCCTGCCTGCGCACGAGTATGCAGTCCAGTGGCTGCGTCACCAGGATCCCCACCGCTCCCGAGCACCATCCTGGGAAGCAGCCATGCGGCAAAGCACGCAAGTGTTATGGGATGGACCGTTGAGGCATTATGCAGCACTGCAGGGTGCATATGCAATAAACGCATGCGAGATGCGGCAGGGGGTGCGTGCTTGCGCAGTATCCAAACCTACGCAAGGTCGTCATGCTTGAGAATTCTACACCAGATCAGCACTAAAGCAGACGAATAAGAACGCGGCATTCTGCGCTGCTGTATGTGTATCCGTAGGCAGCAGGTATGGTGCCTGCAGCAAAAAGGACAATGTTTCGGATCCAGCTGTGCGGATGCGAATCCCTCATTGCAGGCACTGGTGCAACAACGCCAGACGCACCTGCCACGAAGTCGATGACAGACTCGCTCAGGCTGACCATGGCATCTAGAGGTGCTGCCAGGGCCAAGCTGCCAAGCTGTTGGCGACAAGAGTTCAAACATCAATTTGATAAAATGGCTCCGGCTGAAAAAATCAAAAAATGAGCTCTAAGCCGGATTCGAACCGGCGACCTCGCGCTTACTAAGCGCGTGCAACTGCCAACTGTGCTATCAGAGCTTTTCTTTTTGGATGGTATCGATCTCCTCGCATCATGTCTGAACACTGGGGACTGGATGCACTCAGTCCTAGGCTGGCCACAGATAGTTGTGTACAGTACTACCTCTGGCCCAGACAGTGAGTGCAGCCTGATCTGGTGCCATCACCGTGACTCACACTCTGCCATGTGTGTAAAAAAATGCCCCCTTAGGGGGGGGGGGGGGGGGGGGTGCCACAGTGGGGAGGGGGCTCCTAGAGGCTGACAGTGTACATTACAGCATCACGTTCACCGCTTTGCATATGAGCACACCACACCAGCATTACAATGCAAATGGCAGCCGGCATCATCAGAGTGCACATGGCGGCGCGTACTGCATGCTATGTAGTGCAACACCATGATGGTTACATGGCACAATTGGCATGATGTCGCACGACTCATTCACTTTGTTGCAGTTGAAGTACGCACAGTGCCAGCCAACAGCAGAGCAGCGACACACACTGACACAAACGCATAATCAGCGGCAGCGGCAATCACTGTATGACACGCAGCCTGTCGTAGCACCATAATCTGTCAGAGGGGGCTGACAAAACCAGCAGTCTGAGACTTTGAGCCTGACAGTGTGTACAAAGTAGTACTAAGTACCACCAAGTGACTGAAGGTTGTTGGTACCGCCACAACTTGAAGTGCAGGGGCATTGTGTATCTGAACCAATTGTGCGATCTGTGTGTGCAGACTCAAGGCAAAACTTCTTGGCAATGTGCACCCACGGAAGCAGGACAAGACCTCAACACATGGCCGCTCTAATTGGCAGCCGGCGGACTGTCAAGAACTAGGCATGGGGGGCTGCGGCGGCGGCGGCGGCAGCAGCAGCGGCGGCGGCGGCAGCGGCGGCTGCTGCGCATCGGCTGCGTGCGCAGCCGATGCGGGGCGGATGGTGAGCATGCCAGTCACTAAGTTGGCAGCAGGGTGCTGCGCGCTGAGCGGCCGCTGAGCGGTGATGCCGCCGAACCACGCGCTGAGAATGACCGGCACGCATTGTCGGATTGATGGCCGCTGCCGCTGTGCGTTGTCACTGTCGCGGTGCCCCGGAATACTGACCCTCAGCCAGGGGCGCGTGCTGTTTGCGTGACCGTCGGGCTCAATGAAGAAGTCAACGCCCTCGATTGGACGCACGCTGTAGACGCGCTCTATCACTACAGCACCGGAGTCATTCACGCGGTGACGCTCGCTCATGACGGGCTCGAAGAAAATGCCGTCAGCGCCGCTGCCGAGCTGGACGTACGCTCGCAGCAGCCGCGGGAAGTCTACAAAGATGCAGCCGTGCTGCCGGCTCTCTGTGGCGGGCCCCGCTGGCATGGTGCACATGCGCATGCCACTGTGCTCGTACATGGCCTGCGCCTGCTCTGGCGTGTACCAGTCGCTCGCGGAGGGCGGAGGTGCGTACCCCGCCGGCAGCGCCCCTCCCGCTGGCACGCTGTACAGCGCCACGCACCTTGACGCCTCGTCGAGCATCAGAGACAGCATCATGCCGCGCGCGTCGTTGTTGGCGCCGACCTGGGCAGTCACGTAGCGTGCCGCTGAGCGCTGCTCCGCCAGGTCACCCTCGTCGAACCTCGCAGGCTGCAGGTACCAGAATTCGGGCAGGCAGCGTATGTGCGCGCTGATCAGCAGTGCAGACCGACCGCGCTGCCGTGTCGCCCAGCTGCCGTTGCCGCGGCTGGTGTGGCCGAGGACCCCGAAACTGTGGGCCCTGCTGTTGTGGCTGTTGATGGGGGGGTCGACGTCCATCATGTCTGATGCTTGAGAGTTGCTGTCGGGCTCTAACTGGCTGGCGCCGGCACTGGCGGGGCTGGCGTCGGCGTCCATGATGTCGGACGCTGCATCAGACTCTGCGTCGGAAGCCGAGTCCAACTCTGAGTCAGACTCGTACTCGTGGTCCGCTTCTGAGTCAGACGCCGAGTCAAAGGCACTGCTGAAGTTGTGGCTGCCCGGGTTGGCGTCGACCTCCATGTTGTCCGATGACTCGTCGGATGCACCAGAGTCTGACTCTGCCTCGACCGCCCAGTCAAACTCAGAGTCTGACTCGTCGTCCAAGTCCGACTCAGATGCCGACTCAACCTCAGCGTCATCCCCGCTCACGCCACCGCCGCCCCCCGCCGCCGCCTCCGCTGCTGCTGCTGCTGCTGCTGCTGCTGCTGCTGCTGCTGCTGCTGCTGCTGCTGCTGCTGCTGCTGCGGTGGCGGCGGCGGCGGCGGCCGCCGCCGCCAACACCTGCTGCGCCTCCTCGCTCCTGATCAGCTTGAGGTGGCTGCGCGGCTTGGTGATGCACTGCCGACCGCTGGGCGGCAAGCCGTCCGCGAGGGGGCCCACGCCCCTTTGCTGCGCCGCATGAAGTTGGAGGGCGTACGCTGAGAGGGCGGTGAAGATGAGGGGCACGCATGATGAGGCGTCCCCGGACAGGTCGGGGACCCCCTTCAGCCTGCCCCAGCTCAGCAGCTGCGCGCCTCCGCCGCCGATGCCCCGCATCGCTGTCGTCAGCTTCAGCGGCACGAGCTCGTCGTGGACGACGCGATAGGCCACCGGCAGGTGTTTGCCGACATCGAGGGCCGGCGAGGCGCCCACCATCAGCAGCAGCGCCAGGTTCAGCCCGTCCACGACAATGTAGCCGTGGGCGTCCAGCAGCTCGCCGTCCTCATCCCGCACCCCCCCCTGTGCGTAAGCCTGCACGACCTCCTCCGGGCCCGTCACCACGCAGTGCCTGGCGGTGACCGCGGTGAGCTTGCGCTGCAGGGCAGGGTGCGCCTGCTGGGTCGTTGCGGCGATGCGCGGCAGCACCTTGCGTGCGTACTGCACCACGAACAGCAGCTGCTCGTCCAGGCCCACGCGCAGCTCATTGCCGCCGCCGCTGCCGCTGCCGCTGCCGCCGCTGTTTCCGCTGCCGCCGCCGCCGCCGCTGCCGCTGCCGCCGCTGTTGCCGCCATCGCCGCCGCCGCCGCCGCCGCTGCCGCCGCCGCCGCCGCCGCTGCTGCTGTCGGGCTGCTGCGGTATCCACGGCGTAGATAGGTGGCGCATCAGCGCCAGCAGCGTGCTCCAGATGCCAAACACCTTGTCGACGTCGAAGCGCATGTCGGGGTTGTAGTACTCGGGGCCCTGCCAGTGCCATTGGCAAGTGCGACCGCAACACATGGCCTTGCGTTAGTTCATCAGGGCGCGTTATCGATGTGGAGTCATGATTGTGGTAGCACTTCTATAATGTGTGATGCTTGTTGTGTACTACTTTCAAGCACCAGCTTCGAGTTGACTTCGACTTTAACATGTGCAACAGCCACCTGTCCGTGGTGGCAATATGCAGTGCAGCAGCTTGCATATCATACTAGTAGTACTTCTATAGTTCAGCAGCAGTACACTGTCAGTGCAACACTGTTGTGCTTGGGCAGTCTTTGAGAGTTGGACTGCAGAGTTGAAGTGCAATAACAACAACACCAACAACACAACAGCACAGCACAGCCTTTTGTACGTGAAGTTTGAGCTTGAGACCACCATGACGCCTATGTGCTCGATGTGTTTGTTACAGTGACGTGACTGTGCGCGTACTCAATGAACTTCAAGCTGCAGATGAGTGCAAGCACTCAACAACTTGAAATCAATGCGCGGCTTGCGCGCTGAGCGGCGCTGCTCCATTGCATCGTCACTGAAGCAATGAGCGACTCCAATGGCATGAACGTCGCCGCCCGCCAGTGGCAGCAACAGCGCTCAACCCCCAGTGAAACATGAAAGGCCCAGTGAGCCTGCCTCAGTACTCCTTTGCAAGACTGATGCGTCCATACCAGACTCTAGGTTATGCAATGCACAGAGATGCCAACTTTGCAGCAGTGCTCAGGATGCTTGCTGCACCTCACCCCGACACGTACAGTTGAGGCTTTTTACCAACTACCTAGTAGAAGATACTTTGTAGTTGTTGATGATTTCACAGCTGATGCAAACTCCTTTGCGGCGCCAGCTGCAACAGCTGGCACGAACAACTGTTGATGACTAAGTAGGCTAAGTGGAGGCGTTTTCACCGTCAACAACAACTTCAACAAGACTTAATGAGTATGATCTGCGCATGCATGGTGAGTCACCTGTCAGGGACACATGATCATCCAAGCCTGAGGTTCAACAGGTAGCGGACTGGCGCTGACTGACAGCTTGAGCGCCGCTGCTGCTGCTGATGGTTCGATATCCATTGTACTACAGTGTACTACCATGAAGGGAAGCCTTCGCGCCAACAACCTCAGGCTGACGATGGTTGGAGCAGCAGCGCTGTGCGCGCTTTTAAACAGAGATCTACTAGTACGACAGCAGCGCCATCATGGTGATGCTCAACATTCAGGTGTGTGGATGTTGCTCGCCTACTAGTAGTACTGGTATCATCATCCCAGCACCTGCACCTGCCAAATAGCCACTACTACATGCATACTATCACTACTAGTAGTAGTAGTTACAGTTACTTTCTTGACAATTGGTACCTGCGGCCGCAGCTCGCCCCGTAGCCACCCGTGCCGCCGCGCCCAGCTGATGAAATCCCGCCTGAGCCTGCGGGCGCGCGCCTCCTTGGCGGCGCCCTCCCGCGCCTCGACTCGCGCCCACTCCGCCGCCTCCGCCTCGAGCGCCACGTGCCCCCAGTCTGTGCGCGGCGGCGTCATCACCGCCGCGTCGGCAAGCGGCGCGTTGTCTGCCGCGCACTGGGTATCTGCAGGCTTGAGGATGGCCGACTGCAGCTTGGCGCCCTTCCGCTGCGCGCGCAGCGCCAGCAGCTCGGGGTTCTGGGGGTGCAGCTGCTCGAGGATGTCTGCTGCGTTGGCGTAGCGCCGGTCGCTGAGCTTCAACCTCTCGAACTCCGCGCGGAAGTAGAAGAGCGCGTCGGTCAGGTGCTCCCACTCGACGCGCCGCCGCCCCTGGGGCCCCTCCAGATACTTCACCAGCGGGCGCTGGAAGGTGAAGGCGCCGACGTGCTGGCGGTCGGCGGGGTCGAAGAGGC